TTGATTATTTTTAGACAAAATACATATGCATGTGTATAAACGGGCGGGTTCGGGTTGGATAGTGAGAAAACCATGTCTACGCATTACCCGCAATATTCGGGTTCGGGTTTTACCCGTACCCACGAAAAGTCCTTCCAGTTCGGGTTTTACCTTACCCGATTAGGTCGGATTCGGGCGGATATCCACGATTACGGATATTTTTGCCATCCCTAACCCTCGATAAAAATAGGCAGAGGCCGACACGACTAAGAAGTGAACTGCAGCGGTCGCCGGAGAGGGGAATCGCAGGCAATGAGCTGGAATCAACCGAAAGACAGAGCAACTAAGAGAGAGTCGAAGAGAACGATCTGGATCTCCTCCAGTTCTTCTCCCTCCAGTGCTCTGACCGTCCCGGGAATCGCATCTTCCACGTCATCGGCAAGCACTTCCCAGGTAATCAATCAATCGATCAATCGCCCTTGGTAGCATTCCAGTCCCTCGATTGTTGTCGCCTGTCGGTTCTTTACCCCCGGGAATGCCGGTGCCGACAATCTTGATTATTTCCCATAAGCTCCCATCATAAGTCCCAATCCCAAATTAGACATCTCAATTGAATAAGCTGCCATCGTAGTGAACCTTAGGGTTGCCAAGTCACGAAACTTAGGGGTCGTTTGGAAGTTGCGAATGTTAAATCGTTGCATTGTAAATGAATCATCATAATATAAATGCATGTATTGATACAATGGATGCATTTTAACAATACATTGTTTGGTTGTTGAGATTCTACTTTATGCATTGATTTACATAAAGTTATTTTATGGGAAATGTCACATTTACGCTCAACTTTTAGAATAAGACAAAAACTATTAGGGATATAAATGGAAAGAAAAAGTTGACACAAATCTAAAACCAACAATCACAACAATCTCAACTTTTAGTTGAGATTGTATAATGCATCATTTTTTGTGATTGTTGGTGGGACCTACCTAAAACAATGCATGCATTGTTTTACATTTTGATACTTCCAAACATTGTATTGTGCACAATACATGTATTCAACAAACACAACTCTAACAATCACAACTTCAAAACGACCCTTGGTAGCATTCCAGTCCCTCGATTGTTGCCGCCTGTCGGTTCTTTACCCCCGGGAATGTCGGGGCCGACAATCTTGATTATTTCCCGTAAGCTCCCATCATAAGTCCCAATCCCAAAATTAGACATCTCAATTGAATAAGCTGCCATCGTAGTGAACCTTAGGGTTGCCAAGTCACGAACGCAGCATTTAAGAGATAATAAGAATGGGTTAATTGCATGGTTGGTCACTGAAATTACAAAAAACGTTCATGTTTGGTCACTGAAAATATTTAAATCCAATCTTGGTCACTCAAATTAGTTAAATGGTTCAAATTTGATCACTCTCCGTCCAACTCTGTTAAATATGTCTGATGTGGCAGTCAAACCTCAAAGTTTACCGTTAACTCGATGACGTGACAATTAAAAAATAATAAATAAAATAAATTTTAATCTTCTACCATTTCTAACTCATTTTCACAATAAAGTAAAATAATAATAAAAATTATCACTATCACAAATTGAAAGAGTAGCTTCCTCTTCCGCCACCACATCCCTTCCCGCAATCCCCTCCGAAAACAGAGAGAAAAAAAGAGGATAAAAAATGACTTCTGGGTTCCCCGCCCGAGTAGGAATCGTCGGCGGTGCAGAAACAGAGAGACGAGGCACTGGAGCAAAATTGCAATCTAGAGATGGCCATCACTAGATTCTCATCTTACAGCTTAATTAATTCAATTATAGAAAAAAGAAAGTTGTTGATTTGGAATCTTCTCTCCTCTGAGTCCTCTCCCTTCCATCACCCACCCTCACCTCCCTGTCTGCCATTTCTTTAATGACCGATGATGCTATTCCGCAAATCCAACTACTGACTCTTCTCCCTCCACCTCCTCATTCATTTGCACAGTAGCAAGCAACCCATTCCCCAATTCCCCCATTACCCTTCTCTCTCTCTGTCCTCCTCCTTCTTCCCCGGTGGTTCCCACCGATAACCGCCATGCCGCGTCTCTGACCAATGCAATCGCCGCCGACTGCTAAAATGGCTGGTTTCCAGTTTCTGATTTTCCTCCTCCCGTTTCTTCACCCGATTCTCGTCCACTCCACCACTGATTCCACCGACGGTAACTTCCATTCAGCAGTCTGGTGCAGAATCAGAGAGACGAGGCACTGCTAGTTGAACCGCCGCCGGGGAACCCAGAAGTCATTTTTTATCTTTTTTTTTCTCTCTGTTTCCGGAGGGGATTGCGGGAAGGGATATGGTGGCGGAAGAGGAAGCTACTCTTTCAATTTGTGATTATAATAATTTTTTTTAATTTTACTTTATTGTGAAAATGAGTTGGAAATGGTAGAAGATTAAAATTTATTTTATTTATTATTTTTTAATTACCACGGCATCGAGTTCACTGTCAACTTTGAGGGTTGACTGCCACATCAGACATATTTAACGGAGTTGGACGGAGAATGACCAAACTTGAACCATTTAACTAATTTGAGTGACCAAATTGGATTTAAATATTTTCAGTGACCAAACATGAACGTTTTTTGTAATCTCAATGACCAACAATACAATTAACCCTAATAAGAATTCTATGTTTTCGGTTGCTGGGTGGAGCACTGCGGAGCTTTGGAGGGAGTTGACTTTTGCGCCTACCTTGGTGGCCTTCCCGTGGATGCCAACGGCAACGGCGAAATCTCTACGTGGTCGCTGTTGAAATCTTCAATTTTATTCCATTTCCTTGCATCCGTCTCATTCTCTGTTGTTCCAATTGACAAACAATTTTGCTCGCTCCGTTGCGACTCGTGACCTAAAATCTCGCTTGTAAAATCACGTTGTATACCACTTCATTCAGAGCTTATCGCAATCAGTGGCCAATAATTCAATTTTCATAGGAGACATTCATCTTCCATTTGTGAGTGACTCGATTAATTTGCCATTATGTACTTTGCTGACATTGTTACACTTGTGGCTTATGTTCTCGGGTTTATGGTCTAATTTAGTAGACTTATGTTTTGCTTCCCCAAATTTTGATCTTTTTATTAATTTTTTTTTATATTTCATGAGACTTGTAGATAGGACTGGGAAACGGTGTGGTCTGATCCAGACAGAACCATATATACGGTCTATGATCTATACCAAGAGGCTGCAGTATAGACTACAAACTATATGGTCTAGACCAGACCACGTCCGTGCGGTCTGGTCTGGTACAGATAGATCACATTGAACGAAAAATGAACAATTTAATTAGTAAACCACAACAAAATTGAACCAATAGCCAAAACAATAATTGTTTTTTTTTTGCTTAAAACATAAATTCCAACATGCATGAATAAATTTGACACCATAAATCTCAGTAAATAATATAAATACAAAGTCAAAGCATCTCAAGTTGCACCATAACGTCATAAACATTTACATAATGTCATATGGAGACACGATCGTCTCTACTCTATGATAAAATATGATTGTGAATGAAGCAGGGGATGAGATTCTCAAAATTAAGATTGAGACTTAGGTATCATTATGGGAGTTGGGAGAGTGGCTAAGTGGGCTGCTAACACGTATTGAGAAGTCGGTTGGGTGCATGGTTTGGTCCGATAAATCGCAGTCTAAACCAGACCAGACCAAGAGATCAAAACTTCATATAGTACAGACCATGGACCAGACCAGACTAGGAGTGTCATTCGGGTTCGGTTTTCGGTTTTAACCGAACCCGAACCTATAAGATGTATTATCGAGTTCTGGTTTTCTTTTGGGTTTTCGGTTTTGGTTTCGGTGTCAGGTTTAGCTAAAGATACAAAAGCTTCATATCCCATAGGGTGTTTTATTTTCGGGTTCGGTTTTCCAAGGATAACGGGTTTCGATTTTTTGGGTTTTGTGAGTTTTGAGTCGATTACCCGAACCGGTAGCCCTAGACCAGACCCTACTTAACAGTCTATGGTCCTTACCAAAATGCACGGTCCGGTTTGAACCATGGTTTTTCAAACGGTCTGGTCTATTTTCCTAGCCCTACTTGTAGCATCCATAATCTTTTTTACGTGCTTTTATGCAATGTAGTCAAAAATCGCACTTTAAAGCTTAAAAACTTACGTTTTTACGCTTCTAGGTCACCAAAATCTTCTACTCATAATCACAATTTTTATAACTAATGTAGTTAAAAACTGCGCTTTCAAGCTTAAAATCTTACGGTTTCACGCTTCTAGATGACCAAAACGCTTCTACGTAGAAACGTGATTTTTACTACATTGCTTTGATGAGAGTTATGGTATGCTTTGTATCGTCCCGAATATTTCATTTTCTGCTATGCATTATTACGTGTATGAATTGTTTTATTGTGTTTACGGTCTGCATGATGAGACTTGTGGTTTATTTCCACTTGTTTCTTGTCTGTTGTTTCAGACTTGTGGTGTGCATCCTTGTGTTTATGGAATTCTTTTAGGGACTTATGATCTTCTTACTTGTTGTGCATTTAATCCAACTTTCATTAGACTCTGCCTCTGTGTCATTGCATATGTTGCAACACTCAATTCTTGATCTGAGTCAACTATAACTCTTCAATTGTCCTGGTCTCTCCAACCTATAGGCACATGCTCGATAAGCTATTTGAGCAGGGAACCTAAATATTGGCAAAATAGATGTGGAATAATAAAGAAGAACTAAGTTGGTGGCATGTCCAAAATGGGAGTTAGCCTAGTCCATTGAACCAAAGAAGGATCGACGAGCTGATATAGAGAGAGGGTGATCTTTCACACTTCACACATGTTACTATCGACCTCGCTGGGTTCTCACGATATAATAGGTGAGTAAAATTATATAGTATTTGACAATGCATAATTTTTTTTGTTAATATATTTATATGGCCTGAATTTTGCACATAACAAATATCTTGACCAATCTTTTCGATCTATAACATCCTGGCCCAAACTATACATCAAAGTAATGAAATTGGCCAAACTAGATGTTTGACCGTTATCTTGAATGGTCAAACGTGTTGATTAATGGTCAACGCACCAATTCACTGCCAAGTCAGCAACTTTCACTTATTTTTTTTTTTATATTTTCCACCTATTACCATTTTTCTTTTTTATTTTGAACCAAACAAATAAAAATAAAACCAAAAAACAAATTTCATATTCGGGTCCCAAGCTAAACCCTACCTTACAGCATGTTTTATCTCCCTCCCCACTCCCCAGCAGCGGCCAGATCTGTCCCATCAACAAACTTTTCTTTTTCTCCGACGCCAATCCCCTGCCATCGTGGGCACCAGTACTCTCTCCCGTCCACAACCAATCCTCCTTCCACCTCTCCTCCGCTCCTCTCCTTTCCTCCACCGAATCTCATTTTTCTCCGGCCGCGATTACTGGCCTCCGCTAGACGCCACCGGCTGCAAAAACCAGAAATCATCTTTGACGAGAAGGTGGTGTAATCGGAGCATTTATGTCGGAGTTGGTAAGGTTCAATCAGAGCACGCTCCCTACGATAGTGCAAGAGACCCTGACGAAGCGACAAGGAGTGGCGGCGGCACAGCTGGCGTTGACCAGCCAGCCAGGAGTGCTCCCACCAGGAGGGAGATGGGGAGGTAGGGGAAGAGGAAGAAGAGAAGGAACTGGATCGCTGGCGGGAGCGGGAGTAGGGGAAGGTGAAGCAGCAGCGGGAGTGGGAGAGGAGAGTGTTCTCCTCCGGGACGGAGCAGGAGCGATAGAATCGGATCTCCGTGCCATTCGTGCATCGGATTCTGGTGTTTGCCCGGCGCCCATGGGATGTGAGAATTGGAAATCGGGGAATCCCTAATTGGATTGTTATTTTCCCAAATATGGAGAAAGAAAGATAAGAGAGTAAGAGTTGTTTGGTTGGGAGAGAAAGGTTGTGGGATAAAATGTGAAGTAGTTTTCCCTTTTTTTTTGTTGAAAATGAAAAAGAAAAATGGTAATAGGTGGAAAATATAAAAAATTAAGTGAAAGTTGTTGATTTGATAATGACGAGGCGCGTTGACCGTCAAAGATAATGGTCAAACATCGGGTTTGGCCAATTTTGTTACTTTGATGTATAGTTTGGGCCAGGATGTTATAGATCAAAAAGATTAGTCAGGATGTTTATTATGTGTAAAGTTCAAGCCATACAAATATATTAACCCTTTTTTCCTACTAGTTCTGGTATACCTTTGTGCAATTGTGTTATAGTTTAGAAAATTTGTGGTATGGATTATGTGGTATGTTTAATATGTAATATGGGGTCTGGTTTATTAGGTTTGTGCTTCACTTCCTCTTTCTCTTTTTTACTTGCTTTATAGTGTTTTGGATCTCATATCTCTCGCATGAATTTAATATTAATGTTGTCCATTGTTTGTGTTTTGTTTGCAGGCATACAAATTTGAGGAAGGCTATGAGAAATACAAAAGAGAATTGATGAATCATGTTAAAGAGTACGAGGAAGAAATCTCTAAGATGAATGACCATATAAGAATGTTGAATGAGGTGATGGATTAGGAAAATGTCACCCAACAAAATACTAGTTATCAGGAGGTGGGTGATGATGAGAACGAGAACAAGGCTGAAATGACTATAGGTGAGGATGATTAAGCTAATAGTGTGGAAGAGGACGAGTAGAATGGTGTTGAGAATGAAGCGAAATAGGAGAGTAAAAAACTGAGGCATGTGAGCATAACAATAATGATGAAGATTGTGGAGGGAGGGAAAAGTTGAGGAAGATGTTGATGACAACTTTTCCACCATCCAAAATGAATATCAAGCCACCAATCTCGAGAAGCGTGTAAAGGATGAAACCAAGGTGTGAACTTATTTCGTTTGTGGTATGAATTATTCTATTCGATGTGTGGTTTCATGTATTTCTAGTTTAGATTTAGAGTATTTGGGTTATCCTATCTTGTATTTCTAGTAGGCTTTAGTACTTTTTGATATGTGTTTACTGTTTATAGTGTTTCTGGTATGCTTTATGACTTTTTTTTGTTATGGTTGATCTTATTTCTGGTCTGCGCCATTCTGTTTGCATAATCTATAAAAATGACAATTCATGTGCAAGAATCAAGCTACAACAAGCAAGAGCCTGAGTTGGATGGCGGTGAAGCTTATCATAAGCACAAATGCATGTATTACCAAGATAAGAAAGGTATATTGTTCTACTTGTGTTATTTGTGGTCTGGATTGGTTCCTTTTTCTAGTATGATTTATGCCATTTATGGTATGCTTTGTGAGTTTTATGGTGTGCCTTTGGTCTTTCCTATATAATTTATCTGGTCATTTATGTGTTACTATTTGTCTATGATGCAAAATTGGAGACTTATTGACTCGCTCAAACTACACCACAATTAAACCCCAATTAGAGCCCAAGTTTTTAAACTCTAATCGGGTGCAGTATAGGGCAAGTATTTATATATCAACCCGGGAAGGTTTGTCTACCCCTACTTTGGTTGTTGAAATCATTATCTAGCGATAAAACTTTCGTTTAAAGGTTTACCAATTGAAATGAAAGAAAGCAAAGGTACTTTGGTTTGAAAACTCTTTCGTGGGAAAGTCACTTGGGTTTTGCTTCCCCCTAACCGCTACCATGCTACGTGGGTTGGAACGATTGCCTTGGGCACGTTAGTCGTGAACCCAGAGGAAAGCCTATGTGGTCGGGGACCAAAGACTCGATTGCTAAACCGAGGTGAGGATGAAAGGTCGTGTTACTCGACCCTCTCAGTTTAGACAATCGATAATCGGCTTACTTCCTCACTCAACTCTAAGGTCGGACGGTTTAACCACGATTAATCGACTTGTTCCATTCAATATTGAGGATTGCCATAACTCAACCTAGTTTAGGTGGCTTGGAAAGCGGAAGGAAAACCAACTCGATTGAGTCTCCCTTAAAAAGGGGGATTTTCCTCTCTAAACTAGGCTAAGTTGGCAACTTAGATTACTAGCACCTAAATGCACAAACTTAGGGGTGCTAAGCACAATTATGTACAATCCCTAGGATGCTAAACACAAAATATGCACAACCCCTAAGTTGCTATGCACAAGCATGCAAAATCGTGGTGAAAAATACCTCAAACATTAAATTGAACAATGCCCAATATCAATCATCCAAACCACATACAAGAAAACTACATGGTAGGGTTTAGGGTTTCACTACACCCAAGTGGAAGGAGGATTACTCCATGGAAGAAGTGGTATGAACAAAGGGGGAAAAGGTGAAAACCATCTTTTGGGGATGCCTCCTCTCTTCTTGACCCTTGAGCTGGGATTTCCTTGGGGAAATCTTCCCAAAACCTCCTCTGAAGTCAAGCCCTAACCTCCTCCTCTCTTTGGTTCTGTTTCTCTCACTAAAATGTAGAAGAAGGTGTTTCTCTCACAAAAGTGGCTCTCCCTTCTCTCCTCCTTGCAGCTCAGCTTTTAAACCCGAGAAGAGCTAAGTTCACGGCCTGAGTTCACGGCCGTGAACCATCAAACGCGTCCGTGAACTCACACCTTGCGCCAAAATGCTCTACATCGATCACGACAGTTCACGGGCAACTGATTGTGTTCACGGTCTTAGTGACTGTAAACTAGCATTGCGTCAGTAACCTTCAACTTGGCTCTAGACGCCTTGCGCTTCACGGTCAACTCCCCTTCTTCACGGTCTTGCACGACAGTGAACTCCTGCATTTAGCCGTGAACTTGCATTTTTCACCTCTTCTCCTGGTTTTTGATCCTTTTTGTCAATCCTTCGACTCCGAGGCTGGTTCCACCTGTTTAAATCCTGAAAAGCACTCAAACACAAAGAACCTCGCGTAAAACGAACCTCTAATGAGCGAATTTGGCACAAACATCTAAGCAAACCGGGGGCAAAATATGTGCAATTAGGCCCAAATCACCCCCCCACACTTAGACGTTTGCTTGTCCCCAAGCAAACCATTTCACGCACACAGTAATATTTCAAGCTACACAAATGCCTTGGGGACAACTCAAAGGATACGAAGCGGGAATTCTCAATGTTTATTGGCAATCAACACATGAACCGTTGCAAGCAATACCGACATCCACCACAAACGACATTCAAAGCCACCAAAACAGGCAAACGAAAAGTTCTCAACTTATTCATGGATAAATGAAAGTCTCAACAAAACCACTTATCGACCACAACCAACCATGCATGGAATTCAAGTCCGACGAACAAATGGGAAGGCAACAAAGGTCCTCACCGGGGTATGATATGACATGCAAAGCAAGAATGAATCGCTCACTCTCAAGACCAGTGGGGTCGGGACCTTTTTGGTGCAAAAGATGTGCACAATCGTAACCTCTTGCCCCTATCGTCTCAATACCACGACGGTAACCTCTAAACGCTAGAGTTCAGGGGATGGTTGTCACCACTAGCTTGTCCGGAGGTCTTAGACACGGGTTCAGATGACTGGCGATTGGCTTGGACATGGGGAAAATACTATTTGGGTGGTGGCAATTATGACGTGAGGTTCTACATCTTCAACCTAAACCCGAAGGGTCTATGGTTTCGACTAAAACCCTTCTCTTCAATCAAAGGCCACTAGCATCGGCCAAAACCCTTATCTCTCCCTTCCAACTATCACCAATCATGAACTACCTTGAAGCACTCTTCCTCTGTCAACTCTTGCTAGTTCTTTAAAGTTTGGTAGTGAAGGAGTTCTAAACAATGTGGGGGTTTCGATGGCTTGGGTGCCAAGAAACCCCTTCCTAGAGCATGTACTTTGGTTTTTCGTGGCACTCTCTACTTTATTTACCCCATTTTATTACCTCTTTTTCGTTTCTCTTTTCTTTCCTTTTCTTTCTCTTTTTTTTTCTTTTTGAGGGGGGTATTAGAGAGTAAAAACACTTGCCACCTTAACATTTATCGACCAATGCTCTCTTTTTGAGGAACTAACTCCAACACTACACTCCATTTTGCACTCCTAGCAAGAACCACACATGAACTTCCTATGTAGAACCTCTATGGAAACTCAACGGTAAGAGCTCTGGGACACACAGGCGACTCATGTTTGGACACGAAGAAAGGTTTTGGGGGTTGTTGTACTAACACCTTTAAGCTCTCATGAACGAAGCTCCTAAACTGAGAACGACCCACGGAGTCACACAGCTCAAAGGGGTTGACTAAGGGATGATGCATCTCGGGACAATCAACTTTTGGGGCGTGGACTAATCCTATGCCTCCATCATACTTGCTAGTGATAACTTGTGATGCTACACACCGTGGTAAGAGGGAACTATCACACCGAAAGAAACGAACGGCTCAAAGCTCACAGGCTACCTAGTTACCCAACCATCTATTCCAATTCACAAACACGATGCATGGAAATTGTAAACAACAAGTGATCAAGTCAAGAACTTCATTCATTTATGCACACTTTGAGAACTAAACTCTTGCCCTATCCTAATGAACTTCTCAGTCATCATCATAGGATATACTCAATCACATTCACAGTTCAAGATTAATGCCACAAACACGAGAATTTCCCACCATCCGGTCACTTTGAACATGCAAACGTTGCTTGGAGCCCTCAAATTTTTGAAATTTGGGCATACAAAAGGCTCCAAGCAACATCTCACTCACACAAGCACACTAGTAGACTACCACCCCACACTTAAACTCGGTATTGCCCTCAATGGCGTAAGAAAGGTGTAGAGTGATGTTACCGCTTGGGCTTGGTGAGTGAATGTAGGAATCGAACTGGGGTAGAATAATTGAAGCTTCAAGGAGAAGAGACAACAAAAAACACACACAATCACAATCGACTCGCTCGAGGCGAGGCGAGGTTATTACAAGCACAATACATAGTAGTAGTAGTTCATGTTACACACACAAAAATAACAAAAAAAATAAAATAAAACAAGTTTAGGACTACAAGTGGAGAAGTGGTGCGAATGGACTCCGCTCTGCCACATGTATCTCTCGTCGGCTACCTCTCTCTGGTGGATGGACCATCTCCATCATCGGGTAGGATACCCTGATGTCGAGCCATACGCTCGAGGATGTCAGACTGTCGCTCGAGGCGGGATGAGAATCCCAAGAAGCCCGTCTCAAGGCGATCCACCCTATCGACGAGGGGATCGCCTGCTTCTGGTGGTGGTGGCTGCTGTGCAGGGCGCGGGAGAGCTGGACGCCGGAAGCAGCCAGGTGCACGAGCAGGAGG